TTCCGGATTCAACCATTTGAGCAATTAGGGCTAGACGATTAAGTAGGAGGAGGCAAGATCTTTGGTGCTTTTACCGGTGATATCAAGTTCCCGGTGCCGGGGCGGGTGGCGTCGTCCGATCTGAGATGGGCGGTGGACTGAGCGCCGGAGGATAAAGATGTTCTTTCTACTCCTTTTGTTCCTTCCGTCTTGGGCCAGTGACTTTTATTATTCAGAGCTCTACATTTGTTTGGAGAGAGAATAATTAACGCGGGAGGTTCTAAAAATTTTTAAACTAAAAAGTGGCAAATTCCAAATATTCGAAAATTAGTAACTTTCGATCCTACCGGCCGTGTGGATTGTCTATGCGGACGGGGCAACAATTCTAAAATGCCTATAAGTCTATACCGAGCTCCTATCAAGGTGGCGAGGCAGTCAGTCGTGGGCACAGGGTTGGTCGAACAGCAATGGCAGCGGCATAAGGCCGAACCCACAGCACCAGTGGGTCGAGGGACTGGACGTAAAAGGACGATTAGATTAATAATATTTTTTTATATTTAGGTTTCATATTTACGTCTGTTAATCCTGGACTCTTGTAGCTGACCATTTGGCTACTTCGAGAGTTAAGCCGCGGAATGTGCCCTATGCCAGTCGTACCACCCCTTTTATACCCTAGCAGCTAGAAGGTAACGCCACAGTGATTACCAGTTTGTCCCTTTCCTCTAGAGGTGAGAAAAATTGTCGAGGGTCTCCTCCTTTTGGAATTCGATCCACCAAAGCAGAGAATTCGGGCTCATGATGGGCGGTTGTGCTACCTACAGCCTATCGCAGCATGGCCGATTAGAATATTATTAGTTTATATGTAGTTTTCGTTAATTTATTATTAGTTAAGATTTTATTTGTAATTTTTAATATGTTAGTAATTTCTTCTTTTTAAGTTGTATTGATCGATTGACAAAAAATTTAAGAAATAAGAAAAATAAATACGCTAGAAAAAATCCGCGTGCATAACCGACGGACGCCAGTGCGGGTTATTGCATTTTAACTTCCCGATACACGATCTTCATCATTGGTGCTTTTATTGAGAGAATTGACTGTGTATCATCACGTTGAACTGGGAGCGGATTGATCGATTGGAAGAGAGCGTGTGTTCCATCAATGAGGACAAACAATCAACGAACTAGGTCGTGGCGCAAATCAGACAAATGCTTATCCAAACAGCTAGTCGGTGATCACGAAAGGGCAACTTCGATCCGTCTTAGGACAAGTTCGTAGACTCAGAAAAGGAGTCGGAATTTCAGAACAATTTTGCATATGATGAGGACAACCGATCGAGGGGGTCTAACCAACGCGAGAGGCATATGAACGAGAGGCCAAAATTGATCTTACCAACTTTTAACGGAACGAACCCGGATTCGTGGCTGAACAACGCCAATCAGTATTTCAAAATCAACGAAAAAATGAATTAAAAAGGGTCAAATTTTTCGTTTACTACCTCGATTGAGAGGTGACCGTTTAGTGGCAATGGTTGTTAAGGGTTTACAAAAGAAAAGATGTCAAGATAGGTGGAAAATTTTTCAAAAACTAATTAAATAATCAGTTTGGGTTGTCGAATTATCATGATTACGATGAAGCCCTCTCGCATATTAAGAAAATTAGGAGTTTGCAGAAGTATAAAAAGGAGTTTGAACGAATCGCGAGTCATGTTCACGATTGGCCAAAAGGGGCACTAGTTGGCCCATTTGTCGGGTGTTTAAAACCCGACTTGGCAGCAAAGTTCAGCTGGAGAGGCCAAAGACCATGCGCGCAACCACAGAGGTCATACGCATGCGCGACGACCATCTGGAAGTCATGCGAAATGCCAGTCTGTCGAAGGTTCGATGCCCAGGTACTTTTTCCACCGACGCGTGAAAAATCGGCAAAGAAGGGTCGGTGATAAACACGAGGCCTATACCCGCAGGGGTTAAGAGACTATATTCGGACGATATGCAAAGACGACGAGAGAAGGGTTTATGCTTCAACTGCAACAAGAAGTTTGTTAACGACCATTGGTGCAAAGAGAGACAATCATTTCTAATTGAATTCGTGATCTCGACGAGAATAAACAAATGGAAATCGAACCAAAGTATTACACTAATCAATACGAGGACGGCCCAGAGATATCAGTTTACGCAATGGCCAGTACCCACGGGTCAAAGATAATGAAGTTACGAGCATGGGTTCGAGATCGACGAGTGGTGGTGCTAGTAAACAACAACTCATCCCACAATTTTATTAACTCCTCTCTCTTTAATAAATTGAACTTACCTATAACTAACATAGAGTCGTTTGACATTAAAGTCGCTAATGGAGAACGATTGCAATGCTCTAAATTCATCTGGGGCGTACCCATTAAATTGCAGGGCATGACTATAAATTCTGACCTTTATGCATTGCCGTTGGCTCATGTTGTGGGTTTAATGACTGGAACGATTGGGACCAATCACAACTGATGATAGAGTTAGTACTATGGAGTTCCAATGTGGTGATGGCCTGGTCAAGTAAAAGTCGGGATTAAGGATGAGGTCAAAGAAGTGAGCTTGAAAAGCATGGAGAATTTGTGGAAGGGTGGCAACTAATTCATTGTTGTTAAAGTGGACAACAGAAACGTGGAGAACAGCATACCACGCCACGACACCAGGAGATAACCAACCTACTACAGTAGCTCGGTGAGGTGCTGACCGAGCCTAGGGGGACTTCCCCCATGATGGGCGACCATGATATTCCCTTGCAGGACGAAACTTAATAGTGAGTCTTGGACAACAAGGTATCATCTCCCTTTAGAAGGGAGTGAGGTATGCCCATTATCACATTACATTCTCCATTATTCTATACATACATACTGCATTTCATCTTCTATAAGTGCTAACTTAAACATCCGAAACTCTCATCGGAAAACCCTTCCGGTATGAGAGTTTTTGCAGATGTAAAGGCCTTCAACCGACGAGGAGTTCAGGAGCAGGCTGAATCCAGCCGGTCGGAGGTCTTTTGTGTACCATGTATAAAGTTGCAAAATTAATAAATATGTTTTTTTGTATAAAGTAGTCGATTTTATTTGAGGTTTCTGACGACCATTTTTATTTTTGGTAGGATATGTGTTATTAATAAATGTTCGAATTTATGGTATAAGGTGGCCATTTTATTTTAGTATGAAATGTCCGAATTTAGATGGTATAAAATTTATTTGGTATGGATAGAAGTGTATTTGAAAATTTTAAAAACAAAATAAGTGGTATAAATTTTATTTCGTATTGGTGTGAAAGTTGGTTTTAGGTTGATTTGTTATAACATTAAGTCGATATGATATCAAATTTTAGCATATTCCCATAGTATTTTGTCATAAGATTTTAATGATAATTCGGCAAATTAGTACGTATTGCTCTTGAAAATCAGAAAGATCTTTGAATAAATATTGATTAATAAAATTTAAAATTAGTAATTTAATTCCAGAAAATCAAATGACTATTTTGAACGATAAGGTAACTAATAACAAATATAGAAAAATGTGAGATAGTGTGTGCATATATATATATGAAATATATAAGGAATTTCCTGTGTAGTCCAAATTTAGGTTCAAAACTTAAAAGTCAAATAAGTAATTATTCATAACTTACCGGTCAATATTAACTTAGACGTAAATGAAATAGTCAATTATCTATAGGTTAATAAATTACTCAACTATTTAAATTTTTTAATTTAGATTTTTTATACAAAAATAAATTTATTTTAATGAATGAAACAATTATAAGTTTTATAATTATACTTATTAGTCACATAAATTTTTAAATATATGATAAAATTTTACAAAAATAATTATTTGTTGCAATCACATTATAGTATATATATATATATATATATATAATTACTAGCTAATAGCATTTAAAAAAACCTATTTAATAAAACCTCTAAAATTTTCCCTCCATTTTCGGTTACAAAATTTTTCATTAATGATTTTTACTTCTCACATTAATACATCCTATTGAGTGTAATCATTTATTTTTCTATTATATTATATAATAATTAATGCTAATACCATCTAATAATAATTCACAATAAATATAAATTGCATAATTATAAACAATTGTTTCAAGTTATTTATTTTAACATCAATATTATCTTTTACTTTTGTATCTCATGAAAAAAATTAGTAAATTGTTTTAATAGCATAGTCAAACAACGTTAGAATCTTATAAATAATTGTTTTTGTAATAATAATAATACTAATAATAATAATAATAATAATAATAATAATAATAATAATAATAATAATAATAATAACAATAATAACAACAATAATAATAATAATCAAACTGCTATTATCTAATGATAATAAACAATTGTTCATAATAATAAATAATCATTAATTCATTAATCCTGATTAAATTTTAAAAATGTAATATGTTCATTATCTAAAATTTTACTATTAAATTTTTAAATATTACTTATAATATTTTATGTGCATCTGTGCATGTGCACATGATATTTACTAGTTAAATTGAATTTCTGAATAAAAATTTTAAAATGACACTTATTTTGAAATGAATATAATGTAATTTGTTATCAGTTACGTGCACAGTACGCGTTGTGTACTAATTTTTAATAGACATAGTTTATATAATTTTGCATAATTTAAATTTTATATAACATTTTTAATAAGTATTACATATTGATTCTATATATTAAGGGTGCGTTTGGTTGAAAGGATTAGGCTTGATATCATGCCATTTGTTTATATATCAAGTTATTTATTTTGTTTGGTTGCCTTTTGTATAGCCCGTTAAACCCGCAAAAGCCCGGTTGCATATCCCTTTTTCTGTTATTCCGTATCCGAGCATTGAAGTGGGATGAGGTATCATTTATTTCCAAATCAATAAAACACCCAAATTACCCATTTTCATTCTTCATTTTTTTTGTGCCTTCTTCTCATCGCATCCACCAGTCGAGATCTCCACCCAAAACTTCCTCCATGTCGCCGGCGCCCCCCGTCGAGACCTCCGCCTCATCGACGCCTAGCACGACAAGTGGTACTCTCACAATTCCAAGGTCCACCTCTTGTCGGGTCTATCAAATCACTCTCTGAACATCTTCTTCCTTAGATCTATGGCATCTTCTTTCTCAGATGCACAAAAAATTAGAGAAGACAACACAATAAATGAACCTACAGAAATTTCCGTATGTCTCTAATTTATGTCAAGAAGTTTTGGAACAGAGGCTGAGAAGGAAGGCAGTAATTTTTTTTTTATTCAATGTGCTGATGGGTTTTTTTTTCCTCTCCCAATAGGGGGCTTCTTTTAATTTTGGAACAAGAACATTAGTTAGGGTTTATTGATTTGGTATTGAGATTAATTTTGTGCACAACCCATCCAATTGGCGGTGGTGGGTGAGGAAGGATGAGGAGATGAACAGAGAGTCCGTGTTTCTGTGTAAAGTGCAAATTTTGAAAATTTAATTTCCAATGAAGGGTACAAAAGTAATTTCAACTTAAATGATGTATTATCAATTTTAAACCAAACAAGTTAATGTGCTAATTGATTTGTTGAATAGCCTTTGATTTTATCAAGAATGATTATATCATGCTCAATCCATTATTGCAACCAAACTGACCCTAAATTTATAAATACTAACTAATATTTGTTACTCGAGATTCGTACTAGTGGGTTTATATGCCTTTGAAAAGTAATTAACAAGCCCATTAACTAATTTTTATCCAAACCCATCTTAGTCCTTGTTTGTTTGGAAGAATTGGATTGGACTATTTTACTGTAAGTGTGAGGGATTGTACTGTTGGGATAAATTTAGTGGTGTGTTTGTTATATGTGATAAGGTGAAGGATAGCTTTTTAGATTTTTCTTTTTAAAAAAATCATTTTATTCAGCATAAATCATTTAGGTTTTAAAAGTACTATTTTACCCCTTATATCAGGTTCCATTGTATTTTTTTATTCTCAATGTTCTCACAATTTGAAGGAGCGAACGAAACGAGGACGACGGGCTGATTTCCTCTATTTCCTGTTCATAGACCTTGATTTGAAGGAGGCGCGGCGAAGACGGGAGGATCTCGTTACGGTTTCCTTCCACAAATCGATCACCACTGACGACCACCTCCTGTCTGCTGGTTGTGTACCGTCGTTCGACGACAAGCTTAGAAGACGATTGTTGGGCTGGCGTCGTCGATTCCAAAGCATTCATAACGGTACAAAGGACCGGCGACGGCGACGAGGTAAATTTTTCGAGTACGAGAATCAATCACCATGGATTCATATTTTATTAACTCTGCAAATCTATTTGTGGGAATTAGGGTTTTGCACTCTTTTATCTGCACTGTTGGGGCCTGGCAGATAGAATTTGGCATCAATTTTAATATGATTTTTTATGGGTTTGATTGAGATGAAAAATCAAACTGTTATATTTTTCATTGGAGCATTGTGATAGTTGAAGTGGTACAAAGTCGTATTGAAATTGATATGTGGTACTGGCAGAGATTTTATTTGTCTGTTGCATTCCAATGTGTAAGGTGATTATTGAAGGTAAAGTTGTAATTTTAGGGATTCAGACGGTTTCCAGAAGACCCAAAAACCTCATCGACGACGAAAGAGAGAAAGAACAAAAGGGGAAAAAAGAAAATTATTGCGGATATCAGTGTTTATTTCGATGTATAATTTTTGGGTTTTCAATTATTGATAGTGTCTCTGTATAGATAACGAGAGAGAGAGAGAGAGAGAGAGAGCTATAGTGTGGGAGCTTTGTTTATGATTCAGGGGTTTTGTTCTCGATTTGGTTGTATGTTTTTCCCTCTCTGTAGCATCCCTGGAATTGAATGAAAAAAAGCAAGGATACTGTTTCCCTTTCTTCTCGAGTTAACTGATTGCGTTAATATTTTTCGTTTGTCAAGTGTTGATCTTGACTGCTACTGGAAATTAAAAAAAGGAGAGATTTTTCGATTGTTTTTGTTATCTTCGGTTTCTTTGTGACTTTGTATTTCATTAAAAGAGGAAAGGAAAAAAAGAAAAAGAAAAAAAAAAGAAGTTAATACGGTAAAAATTGTTGATGGGTAGCCCCGGATCGAGTAATCTGGCTACTGCAGCTCGCGTTGGATTATCTGAGCCAATTTCAACTGGTGGTCCCAGTGAATTTGATGTTATAAAGACCCGTGAACTGGAAAAGGTTGGTTCTTTCTATTCTTTGCATGCGTTTTACTTGTGTTTGTTTGCTTGAAATTGGTCGATGAATCTGTTTTGGGTAGTGACAGGGGAAGGCAAGGTTTCTTAAACTGATGACTTTGTCATCTGAACAATTGCTGTGAAATCAAATTGTACTTTCAAGGAAGTGCAGCTGTTTTTAGCATGATTATGTGGATATATTGCCTTTACAAATTGATTGCTACAAGGAAGTTGGTTGGTAGGAAACAGATATGCAATAGAGAATATTTGTTTAAATCTGCTGAGATGAAAATCGTGGGAGCTAAAGATACGTTTAGTGGAAATGTAATTTAAATGCAGGAAGTTATTTTAGTGTGTGTATGATTGTTTGCAATTCTCCAAATTGGCTAAAGTCCACCATGTCTATTGTTTTCCTTGGAAAACCAAAAAAACTGGGTATAATACTAATAATTATCTGTCTTGCTTTAGTTTTCTTTAGTATTTTGCTTTACTCATTGACATCATTAAACCAAAAAAGTTTGTCTCTTAACCAAAAAAATACAACAAAATTCAGCAAACACAGAAAATTCTCAATGGATCTTACCTGAAATGTAATGTACAAATTAGTTTATTGTGCTAAGTGATAAAACATTAATTTTGCCGCCCTTAAACTCTAGATCTTTTATCAGCATCCATTGGTTCACAATTCAGTGCAACTGGTTTGTTTCCAGTTTGACCTTCTAACAAAGGCACAGAGATAGAAACCTGGCTTACCTTTTTCTTGGCGTAGTTTGCATGATCCATTGCCATTGATATCTGGAAATCCAGTTTCTTTTTGTTTATCCTTTTCCTTTAGGAATGGATATGTGTTGCAACTATGACTTTGAGGAACTTTGTTTTGTGTCCTGATAAATTTCTATTCTATTTACCTGTGAGAGAGTATTGTCGATTAAAATACATTTGTATATCTCTTTTAATTATCTGTAACTTTATCAAGTGATAGTGGGTTGTAAATGTTCCTGTGATTGTTATCAGTTTCTTCGAGATGCGGGTTTGTATGAAAGTCATGAAGAATCTGTCAAAAGAGAGGAAGTTCTTGGTAGATTGGATCAGGTCACATGCTGCAATCTTAAAATACCTTGTGTTTTTTCCATCGGTTCATGCATAAATTACTGATATCGGATTTTTTTTTTTACAGATAGTTAAGACGTGGGTGAAAAATATTAGCCGTGCCAAAGGTTATAATGAGTCAATAGTTCATGAGGCAAACGCAAAGATTTTCACGTTTGGTTCTTATCGGCTTGGTGTAAGAACCTCTTTTCTCTATAATCTTCTCCTTTGCATCGTTATATCTTTTTATAGTTTAACTACTTATTTTTTGTGGGTTATTCATAATTGTATTTGTACTTTGTGGAGACCCTTTTTTTATTTTCAAGAGATATTCTGTATACTCATGTGCTTATTGGAGGCAGATCATCTGTACATAGAGGGACAGCCAGACTGAATTTGGCAACCACTTGGTGGTTATAGGAGATATTGCATTTCTTAATTTTGCTTATTGGAGCTATTGCATTTCTTAAATTTGCGAAATATTTCCAAAAATTTGAAGATGTGAATAATTTTCTTACTCTGACCAAAGGAGGGCAAAACTCATGCCTTCACGTAAAGTTTTTGTGACATGCGAATTTCGTTGGCAAGAGAACTTGTAGTGATTGGGGGTGAATAAGAAAGTTATTTAACAATTGAATGTAATTTGAGTTTTCTTTTGGGATAGTATCCTAGTGATCAAGGTGTATTGAAACAATTTAATAATTTGGAAAAAAATAAAGTTCAAAAGCTCGATTTCTGTGATTAGGGATTAGTCAGCTGGAGTTTTTGTGGACCTAGTATATGTTGTGTTAGGTGAATGTTCGCCTAGTACAAGCCATTGTGAATCTCCTCTGAGGGAGGATACAAATAGTGTTTTATGTAGTCATTTGAACTTTATAGGCTTTGTATGCAGCAAGGGAAGAGAGCTAAAAACACTTTTTCCATATGACATGTCATATAAGATTGTAGACTAGAATTCATATTTACAACTTCAAATGCATGAAATACTTAGACTTAAGAGTTTGAGTTGGCTGGTTCTGAATGGATGAAGATGGTTAGATTGCATGTGCATGACCTTGATTATTTGGTTGAAACATGGTAGTTTAAAAGTTCAAATGCAATGTTTCACTGGAAAGAAGGATGCATGATTATGCAATTTTTTCCTGGTCTTGTACAAATATTTTGTCTGTTCTCTAAGTTTTCCATACATCATTTTGTGGATTGACTTATGGTTGCTCTCTTGTAATCATAGGTTCATGGGCCTGGTGCTGATATTGATACCTTATGTGTTGGACCAAAACATGCAAGTCGAAATGTAGGTTATTTAGATTTATGTTTTATTGCTTTTGTTACTTCTTGAATGGAGGCAATAACTTTGTGATTTATCACATACAGGAAGACTTCTTTGGTGAACTTTACAGAATGCTCTCCGAAATGCCTGAAGTACAAGAACTGCACCCGGTGCCAGAGGCTCATGTTCCTGTGATGAAGTTCAAGTTCAATGGTGTTTCTATAGATCTACTTTATGCAAATGTGTCGCTATGGGTTATTCCGGAAGTATGAACCTTTTCTCTTTCTATTAACCAATTTTCAGTATTTTTTGCATTTATTTTTTATTTTTGTACAACACTTTTAAATGTGAAGTACTCTGATGACTTTGAAGAGTAGTGTAATGGTGAATCTGATCTGGTTTACGTGTTTGTGTTAACTTTTATGCCTTTCCATGACAAAATCATTTTGCCGTTAGGCTTCTTTTAAACAAACTCTGTTCAGTTCAATGTGAAGTCTCCTTTTTTGCTTCCATCACTCCTTTTTATTCTCTTTTTGAGAAATATTTTGTTTCCTTGGGAAACTTCTTCTTAGTTCCACCTGCCCCTTTTAAAGAAATATACGGAAAAGAAATTAAAGAAAAAGAACACTGTTGAGTTGAAGTAGTGAAGCATGAATTTTGATTTTTTATTATACTCGTGCATTTGTTTCACTATATATAGCTGCAAGGATTGTCTTTCAAGAGTGTATCCCCACTAACTTCTTTTAAGATTGTTATATGATTTTTTTCTCATGTCATGCTATCGGACTGCTTGTAGGACTTGGATATTTCTCAAGAATCGATTCTGCAAAATGTGGATGATCAAACTGTTCGCAGTCTCAATGGTTGTAGAGTGACTGACCAAATATTGCGGCTGGTCCCAAATATTGAGGTCTGTGAATCTTACAATGAAACATTGAAGTAATTGTTTCTCTAATAATCTCTGCACTCTAAACTGTATTGTTTGCTTGTTGTTTAGACTTTCAAAACGACACTTCGATGTATGAGGCTGTGGGCAAAGCGACGTGGGGTTTATTCAAATGTGAGAAATTTGACCTTTTCTCTCTCTCTCTCTCTCTCTCTCTCTCTCTCTCTCTCTTTTCCTTCGTAAATTAACTCTCATATGTCAATATTCGATTTTTCACTTGAGCTGCTATTTGATTTTTCCAGGTTACTGGTTTTCTTGGTGGTATTAATTGGGCATTGCTTGTTGCTCGCATCTGTCAATTGTACCCAAATGCTTTGCCTGGCATGTTGGTGTCTCGTTTTTTTAGAGTGTATAACTTATGGCGGTGGCCTAATCCAGTTATGCTCTGTCCAATTCAAGAAGGATCATTGGGACTTTCCTTTTGGGATCCTAGGAGAAATTATAAGGACAGGTTACACCTAATGCCCATAATAACCCCTGCGTATCCCTGCATGAACTCTAGCTACAATGTGTCGACAAGCACGTTACGTGTCATGATGGAGGAGTTTCAAAGAGGGAATGAAATGTGTGAGGTACTACCATTCTCCAGTCAATAGTGTGTTCTCTGGTTAAAATGTGATGGATGCTAGGATATTTGAACTGTAATTTTTTGCTTAAGGTGTAGTTAGGTTTACTTTTACTTCAGTCACTAATTACAACTGTAGGTTTTTTTGTTTTCATTTTCTTTTTATTGTTTTTTTTTTTCTTTTGCACTTAGATTTTGGCTTTCCTTCATTTTTATTTAGTTGCTCATTGACTCTTCCTCGGCTACAACTACAAGCGATATGAACTGTGTATCGATACTTTCCATTAGACAGAACTATAGGTCCACGTACATTTATTTTTCCAGCTTGATCTCCATACTGAAAGTTTAAAAAATGAAACTGAAGCTGAAACTAAAGAACACCTATATATGGAGAATTGTGTGGTATTAATTTTTCTAGTAGTGGTGAAAATATCTTTCTTTAACTGATTCATTCTCAAGGACTTTGAAAGTTCAGTTTTCATCTTGTTCATTGTGCTTTTTTGTGTTTCTGGAGTTATCTTCTATCCGTTCATTCTATTAATTAATTAATCATATCTTGCAGGCAATAGAAGCAAACAAGTCCAGCTGGCCCACCCTTTTCGAGCCTTTCGCCTTCTTCGAAGCATACAAAAACTATCTCCAGATCGATATAGCCACAGAAAACGACGAGGACATGATGAACTGGAAAGGCTGGGTCGAGTCCAGAATACGCTTGCTCACACTAAAGGTTTTTTTCACACCAAAATTATCCACTAAATTATTCATTTAAATAATTTCATCAATCATCCTCTCATCATATTAAACACAANATTAAACACAATTATTATTATTTTTTTGTTGCGTCAATTTAATAATCCCAGATAGAACGAGACACTAGTGGAGTCCTCCAATGCCACCCCCACCCAGGCGAATTCTCAGACAAAGCAAAGCCTTTCCACCACAGCTATTTCATGGGCTTACGCAGAAAACAAGGCACTAACCCTCAAGAAGGAGAACAATTTGACATAAGAATGACAGTCGAGGATTTCAAAAGAGATGTGTATGCTTACTCCTTCTGGAAGCCTTCAATGTGGATTCATGTGTGCCACGTCAAGCGAAAGGACATACCTGGATTTGTTTTTCCCGGTGGGGTCCGCCCTTCACCACCTGCCAGGACCTCTGCTGAGGGCCGCTCGGTTTTGACCAGGAAAAAACGAAAACAGGAGGATTTGAGCAGCAGGGGAATTAGTCCGAGTGAATCATTGAGTGGTGCATTTGCTATTAATAATAGTGATGTTGCAACTTCTGTGGATGTAATGAGGGAAAAATCGAGGCGAATGGAACCCGAGTTTAGTGGCACAATGGAGACTTTATCTATTCCAGGATTTGGTTCATTGGCTATGGATAAGTCTGTGACCGAGCAATATTCAGCACAAACTGTTAATCAACAAGGTTCTTCGGAAGTTGTTGATGGGGTTATGGTTGTTGATGATCTACAGTCAAAGACTGAAATCCCGAACAATGATGAAACAGGAGGAAGTAGATTATCTCCGCCTTTGACTTCAGAGCAAGCTGGAGAAGGGGTAGCTGGAGCAGCAGGGGATTGGCCCATGTGCTCGAGGGTTGAACCGAAGAATGATGATTTGGAGGAGCTTGAGGTATTTTACACTTTACTCTTTTTTGCTTGTATCTGTGTTCAG